TTTTGGGGGGTGAGGTGCTCCGTGGGAAGAACACAACGGACGCCTTATGTTTCCCGATCAGCGGCTGAATGACCGATTCGTCCCAGCGCGGGGTGCGTACCGGCTGCCTTTTTGGCGAAACGGGAGCTTGCCTAAATAAACGTTTGTCACCAGCCTGACTTCGGAGTTCTCCTGACCGGAGCATTAGGATCCGGATCGACGCGGAGGTCCTCATGGACGCAAAACAGATCCCTTATCGAACGCACAGTGTCCAATCACTGGCACGGAGACTCCTGTTCATCATGACGGGCCCCTGGCTCAAATAGGATAGAGAACCTCCCGTTCTGTAATGGAATGCCCGAATGACATATGGCCTTCCCTGTCTCATTGTGGACTCTCATCGTACATGGTAATATCCACGTGCATTATCAAAAGACCAGCGCAAGAGTCCCTCTAACATTCTAGCTCCAGTCTCTTTCCCTGTTCAGAAAATTTATATTGGTCGTATCGGGGGTTCCACCGAAATTTCCTTTTTAAGGCACGGTGGGCCCCTGGCCGACACGGGTCTCAGTGTGCTAGGGGTCCCGACCATTGCATATCGAGAGTCCCGGCCTCGTCCTTGTTTGCGAAATAGGCGGGCTCAGACCGACACGGAGCCAACTGTTCATTGTTGGCCGAAACAGAGGCCGCATTCATTCATTCTGGCCGAAATAGAGGCCGCATTTTCCTCGGGTGTCCCCAATCTGTGTAAGAGACTCTCTGACTGATATTTGAGGGCCCGGCTCAGCAGACCGGGCTCTTAGTGTGACCTACAGCCAGCCCTTTGTAACTTCCAATCAGGCACTTTGCCGTCGGTCCTGAGGGGCTTCCGAGTCCTTTGCGGGCCCCTCGAACACTGTCACCGACCGGTTCTTGGCTCCTTGTCATGCAGAACCCTTGTTATGCACTGTGGTCCCCAGATCGACACAGGGGCCCCTTCGTTGCCTCAGGGGACCTGGCCGATGTAAATCGCGGGCCCCGGCTCTGTCCCTGCTTTGGAAATGGGCCCTGAATCCCAGGCATCATGCTGGCATAATCTGGTGGTGAATTCATCCCGTGTCACGGTCGTTAAGCCTCCACCACAGGGGGTAGTTTCGTAAAATATGCTGAGGGGGCAGGGCGGGGAACCCTAGCCTTAAATACACTAAAAATAGGTTTCTCCACGGATATGACTCACATTCATCTCAACGTAAGGATGTTGGATTACCACCCAATTGAATAAGAAAGCACAGCACTGCCCCAATGCGTTCGCTCGCTCTGCTTCGGCGGAGGATGTTACCGTCGGCCGTTATTACCATTACGCTTTGCCTCGATCGGCCAGGCCAGTTATCGGCGCAGGTCGATGCCATATGGCTTTAGACGTCCTTGGTACATGCGCGACTATTAAAAATACTGTCACGGAAATCCTCTGCCGTGACCGTAATGCGGGCTGCAGGCTGCAGCACTGCACTCGCGATAGGTATGTTCGACATGGCTAGTGCCGTTTTGGTGGTCAGTGTAGGACAACTGCGGCCTTCGGTTAGGTCGGCTGGTGTTGATCGTCAAATTTCCGTAATTGTTCCATCGAGTATTTTTACGTCGAACTGGACGTCGGCACATTTCAGGGGTTCTTTCGAATGTTGGAGGCTAAGAATTTGTTCGCGTTTCAGGGTGCGATCAGTTGGCCGGTTTGTTTGCCATTTCCAATAAGACATAGTATCGTGTGTTCACAAAGGACTGCAACTTGCCGCAATCTGTGGATATCTAAACATTACTGAATGATGTCAAAACACTCAGCTGCTCTCATCTGAACATGTTTTCATTTTTTCAGTTCAAAGTTTTCTTTTTTTGTTCTTTTTGCTTGTAAAAATAACCAATAGAAATCTTCTTTAAAATTCATATGATATTTTTTTCCTAATTTGTAATGTTCTGCTTGTCCTTCGGCGTCAGAAGGTTGGGGGCGGCCAAACTCACTGTTGGGGCCAAATTGGACATTGGGGGGGGGGGGACAGTGGCCCACCCGAAATAATACAAATAGACACCCGCACTTAGAAGGATACATCATATCACATTGGCCCGCTCCCTGACGTGGGGGCCTTCTGACCCGCACGGATGATTCTGAATCGACGCGTGAACAGTCATTAACGTCACAACACCCCTGCTCACCGCAGGTGATCAAATAATTGACCAATAAACTCCAGTTGGGCTTAACGGCCCATGCTGGGATAGGGATGGAGGGCCCATCGTTCGGTTCTGGGGGCCCTGACTGGCACAGGGCTCGTCTATTACCTCAGCGTGAGCACTCATATGTTCTCATGTTCCCTTCAATTGTCTGAGGGTCCCGGCCAATACGAGAGACCCTTTGCAATTCGGGCTCCCGTCCCAGACCCTGTTGAGCAAATATTTCCTTGAATGATTCTTGAATACCCTTCTAAGCACTGTGGGCCCCTGAACAATACAGGAGCCCGACCGATGTAAATCGCGGGCCCGGCCTTGTCCCTGCTTGGCAAATTGGCCCCCGGAGCTCAGACCAACACGGAGCTGATTGTTCGTTGTTCGTGATCTCAAGCTGAACTGGAGGAACACCATGTCTCAGGGTTCCCTATCAAGAGATCATCTCACTGACATGGGTTTTTAATGTGGCCGCCAGCCAGCCCTTCGAACCCTTCAGCCATTCCATCGGGCCCTTGATCTTTAGTCTCCAGAGAACCTTCGGTCCCTTTTCGTGTCCCCTCAAACATCGCTCCGACTCGGGGTCACTTGCCCCCACAGGATGCCTGTGCGGCACTGTGACCCTTAACCGACGCAGGAACTCCTCATTGTGTCAGGGACCCCGAGCATTGCAAATCGCGGACCCGGTCTCTTTTCTGCTTGGAAAATGGGTTCCGAAGGCTCAGATGGACATGGAGCCGACCGTTCGATGCTCGTGGCCTCTGAACGACTTGGACACCCGCACTGTCTCAGGGGTTTCTTGAATGGCGCGATAGGCCCTCTGACTGATATTTCATTTCACGTCACGGTCCTACGGGTCGTGGTTCTTTATGTGACGGACAGCCAGTCCTTCGGGCTTTTATGCCCTCCAACCGGGCCATTTCATCATCGGTTTCGTTGGGCCACCCGGGCCTCTCTTCGGACCTCATCGAACACTTCCCTCGGTCGGCTCCGGGCCCTTGCGAGCACAGGGCCCTACGTTAGGTGTTTTGGGCCCCTGACGGATACAAGGCCCCGACGAGTGCAAATTACTGGCCTCGGCCTTATAGCTGATTGGAAGGTGGGTCCAGGCCCATACCGACACGGAGCCGACTGCCCAGTACTGGTGTTGTCTGGCCGACACATAGGCCGATATCAACTTAAGGGATCCCCGATCGGCTTAAATGGACCTCTGACCGTTATTTGAGGGTTCGTCTTCGCAGGTCGGGCCCTGAATACTGAGACTCAGACCACCCCCTTATGTCCTTCGAGCCTCCAATCGCGCCTCTGATCTTGGGCCCGGTAGACCCTCTAGGCTCTCCAGGCCTCCTCGAGCACTGCCTCTGGTCGACTCGGGGTCTCTTTACAATACAGGACCCCTCTTAGGTGCTGTGGGGTCACGTGCGATGTAAATCGCTGGCTCCAGCCTTGTCCCTGCTTTGGACATGGGTCCATGCCGCCACGGAGCCGACGGTCCGCTACTGGTGGCGTCTGACCAAAATATAGGCCCTTATCGACTCAGTGGACTCTTGATCAGCACGGAGGGCTGTCTGGCTGACGTTGGAGTGGCCGGCCCTGCGGGGTGGGGCCCGTAGATGAGACCTACGGCCATGCTAGTAAGTCAGGATATTTGCAGTTTGTCTGGAATTTCACCTCGAAGATAACCTTAACCAACAATCAAACTCGTTTGGAACTTATAATTTGCACGCGGGTGTGAAATAGATGAAACTACCTGCCTGCGAAGTGTCGCAAGCCGCTTTCCACCATTTTTCCTCGTCCGGCTCGGAACGCCTCCAGTGGGACAAATTCTCTTCGACCCCCGTGGCCGAGGTATGCTTAGACACTGTGTGTATCTAGATAGAAACTAAATCACGCGAGGGTGTTCAAAAAGCTCACGCGACAAATCGTTCAAAGCGGCAATGATAATATAAAAGGATTCGTCATCACATTGGCAATTGCTACGTTTGATTGGAACTGTTCACTTTATGGACACCAGTTGCCTTGTAAATTCTTCGAATTCGGCGGAAATGGGCCAATAACATATTCATAGTGACCATGTCATGCAAAGCGTGTGATCCGAAAAACGCTTTCAAGTATGCGTAATGAACAAAAAAAGAGAAGTGCAAAATTGCAACGCCATATCTATCTGCGTTCCAAACCTATCGTGGAAGCCAAGCATAAAGGTGCAATGGACGTTAAACACCTGATTGCTATTGAGCCAGAGTGTACGACAAAATCTTTCGCACGCGGAGGCACAATGAAAGGCATGCGCAACTGTGCATGATAAGTTTTCGTCTCTTCAGGAAATTTTGATATATGTCCTTGCCAGGCACGTGCGGTACAGTCACCTCCCATCCGGCTTCATCCTTAAACACTGGTGGCTGGATAGGAGATAGTGAATGCGTTCGAACAATGTTGTGGATGCCACTCAATGATCTTTTGCATAAGCCTCGGTAACATCGGAAAGTTAGCACTTTAATCCTAGCAAATGTGATGAAACCCCATTTCAGTGGGAAAATCGGTCCCTGTGATTGAGAGGCTTGAAAAGGTATTTCTCCTGTAAGACGGTTGTTTGGATACGGGGTTCAATTTCCGCGGTGTGACCCTTGCTGCCAGGATAAGAGGTAGACGACGCCACGTAGGCTCACTGGCTGGGTGCGTGGTAAAGCCCTAATGACTCACTTGCCAAAGACGCCTAACATTTGTCAGCACTTTAGGGATGACCCACTATCCTCGAATGTCGACGATGAGCCATTTTGGCCGCATTCTGGCATTACGACAGAACGCATTCACCGTGGCTGTTCCGCCCACGGCCCTAGAATCCTTGTGGGCTCCGCCCACTCACTGCGGTGATTGTGGCCTTTGGGGTTGTGTCACGGCCAATTCGGCCAGTTCGGTGCCTGGGTGGAGTTAAAGGGTAAGTGCGTACTTAAAGGGATCTTTTTGTGATACGAACATGGCATTTTTAGCAAAATTTTACCACGACCCTTCTATTTGGTGATTTTTGACAATCTATACTTCATTACGTCCCTATAATATAAAGGGGCTCTTGGATATTAACGGGCTCTTGGAGCATTTGCACACCAGGAGTGCTGCGCTGCAACAATTATGGGGTCCGCAGAGAAGGGGGCTGACAATGCTGTTTAAGGTCACAAATATCCGGTTTATGTCTCACAGTTTGTCTACTTGGGATTTGCAGCCCAAACTCCTGTATGGACTCCAGCCATGGATTGGATGCATCAAAAACATCTGTTTTCTGTTTGTGGCATAGTCAGAAAATTTTGATTGCAAACAGAGTACCTGAAACATTGGTTGTTTTGCTGTGTCTTTGGCACTAGCACTATTGGCCAAAAGTTTGTTTGATTCCAGCTAAGGTAGGTGGTTCTCATCTACTATGACAGGACCGATGTTGAGCTGAGAAGTTTGCTGCCATATCATAGTGCAGATGATTACTCATGTCAATATTAATTGTGCTAAGATAGTCAGGAAAGCATTCTGTGATTTTTCTGCATTTGGTTCAAGGCTGATCTGCAGATACGAGTTATATTATCATAAAGCACTTGCTATATGTGGCATTAATGTGTACCTATATATTTAGTTCTGATTGTGTCTTGTTGCAGTTTTAGGGGGCAGTAGTACTGTATATTTATTATTATGTGATCAATGTTAAAACTTTTTAAAAAGTGGGTCATTGGATCAACGAAATGAATTAATTGGCAAAAGAGCAAATAAGCAGTTGTAGCATAGCATCCAGGATCCATTTGTCCATATGTGCATCCAACCACTGGTTCATAGTGTGATAATAATTACATTTTGACTGAAGTGTGAGCTATGTAAGATGACAAAGGCACATAATGGTGCACTCAATATTGTGTTTCACTCATGGCCCTATGTTTGAATAGAAATGCAAAAGTTGTATTGCATCACATGGTGTTAGAAGCTAGAAACCAGTCCACAACTAATCTGGTTTCTCTAAATAACTATTTTACTATTTGGGTCATAATGGCACCCTACCAAAAATTATTCTTGAATTTTAAAGATACTTAATAATAGTGCAGTACAGGTTATAGCCAATACTAATCAGGAACCATGCCTTGCCTTTCAGCTTATTTAATCATAACATCTTTGACTTAGCTTTACCAAGACTTGGTGATAGACTCACACTTGCCTACAGTTACTAGGGGTGCAAAGTTGTAAAGCAAATCTTGTTTTTTAATTAGGATTTGAGATTAATGAGTGAGAACTAGGAAAAGATAACACTGCAGCATATCTTTCATGAAAATGCTTGCATTTGCAACAATTCAACTAAAACCGATGGTGGTATCCACTTGCAACTAAAACTGATGGTGGCGTCAGGAGCAACAAACCCATTGCAGAGCAGATGTCCCAGATTATGCTCTCAGTGTCATTTAGATGTGACATTTCCTTTCTATTTGAAACAAAAATATGCTTGTTCTGCAAGATCTTAAGCTTTTGGCATTTCTGGTCTATTCACCTTATGGGACTCCATGAGTGCAAATGTGCAAAACATGTCTGAATGCCTTTATTTTGGTTACACAAGATGCTAGGTAAGGTGAAGTGATCTACATGTGGGACAGGGCTCTAATGCATGATAATGTATGTACCTCTGTGAGAGCTCACTCCTCTTGCCAGTGGTCACATGTATCCCTTCATGTCACATGTATCACATGTATCCCTATCACATGTATCATCCCTTACCAGTCAAAACAGACCAGTTCTGCACCAGTTGCCTCTGTCATCTTCCGGGGTTCATGTAAGTCTTGGTTGGCTGGGGTCTGAGCCAGGGCCAAGCATTGTACCAGTTCTGTACCAGCCTCTCTGTCGTCTTTAAGGGCCGACATGAGGCCTGATCAGCTGCAGTCTGAGCCAAGACCGAGCATTGTACCAGCTCTGTACCAGCTGCCTCTGTCGTCTTGCAGGGTTCACGGGAGCCTTGGCCGGCTGCGGTCTGAGCCAGGACCGAGCGTTGTACCAGCTCTGTACCGAGCTGCCCTCTGTCGTCTTGCAGGGTTCACGGGAGCCTTGGCCGGCCTGCAGTCTGAGCCAAGGACCGAGCGTTGTACCAGCTCTGTACCAGCTGCCTCTGTCGTCTTGCAGGGTTCACGGGAGCCTTGGCCGGCTGCGGTCTGAGCCAGGACCGAGCGTTGTACCAGCTCTGTACCAGCTGCCTCTGTCGTCTTGCAGGGTTCACGGGAGCCTTGGTCGGCTGCGGTCTGAGCTAAGACCGAGCGTTGTACCAGCTCTGTACCAGCTGCCTCCGTCGTCTTGCAGGGTTCACGGGAGCCTTGGCCGGCTGCGGTCTGAGCCAGGACCGAACGTTGTACCAGCTCTGTACCAGCTGCCTCTGTCGTCTTGCAGGGTTCACGGGAGCCGTGGTCGGCTGCGGTCTGAGCCAGGACCGAACACTGCCGGACGCCGACCGACTCCGGCAGTGGCACGATGACCACTTGCACGCGCCAGAACATCTTCGGCGTGACGGACCGCTTCCGCTGCCCGGACCGTGGTGGTGACCCGCAGAATCGGTTCTGCTGCGGCAACAAGACGAACCGGCACTGCTGCAGTCAGAACCCACTGGACTTCTTCTCCGGCGGTGGTGGCGGCGGCGGGGGCGGTGGCGGCGGCGGCAGCGGCAGCGGCGGTTATGGGGGAGGAAGCAGTGGAGGATTCGGAGGAGGAAGCAGTGGAGGCGGTGGCAGCTACGGAGGGGGCGGTAGTGGAGGAAGAGGAGGATATGGGGGAGGCAGTGGAGGAAGAGGCGCTATTGGGCACTCAAATGGCGAAGTCAAGAGTGTGTAAGTAACGAAGGCCAAAAAGTTTATAAAAACGGGAGTGCCCTGGCCGAGTAAATATGTGTCGAGTGCATGCCAAGTGGTTGGGGCCTTTGACTTCCATGTGTGAGCCTGGTTCGAGTCCAGGCTGCTCCATGGCTTCCGAACGTTAGTATGGTCAATGCTGTCGCCGACGCTCCAGAACAGGGTGCGCAATGATGTGTACTGTGTTCCCATAAAAAGAGTGCCCATCTCTCCACATCAGGTATTCCTTTAACTCATTGCTACGCCACATGCGCTGGCACTTCCAGCCGGTCCAGGCGGGCACGGACGCCGAAGGTTGGCCGGCTGGTCCTTCGGCGCGTGCCGGCGGCTGTGCTGACGCGCCGCCGTCCTCCTGTCGCAGCGCGGAGCTGGCGTCGGGCCTGGCCAGCGGCCTGCTGTTCCTGCTGCTGGTCGTCTGCTGCGTCTGCTGCGTCTGCTGTCCCTTCTGCCCTGTCAACAAGCGGCGGAAGCGTCGCGGAGGCGGCCGAAACTGTGAGTCAGCTGGGCGTGGGTTCGGTCACCGCTCTGAGGGACGTGATGACCGAGGGGTTAGCGCCTTTGGCTCCCATGCGGGGACCCAGGTTCAAATCTTGCTCGCGCCAGGGTCCATGGGCGCTTAAATGGCCTGGGCAGTTGCCGGTTTGCCCTAAAAGGGTGCCAAACGATGTGCAGCACGTGCCCTGTGCCGTTTTTTTTAGTTGGTTTGCCGCTGAGTTGGTCACCGCTTGGTGGTTTCTTTACCAAGCCGCTCATTAAGATGATTGGAACTGGTGGTGCGGCCAGGCTGTGACGGGAAAGTGAATGTTCTCAACTGAGACCTAAACAATATGAATTGTGATTCTCGATGACTGATTGTGACGTATCTGATCCTGGCATGTAGTGATTGAACATGCTGCCGACAGTTGGCAACGATGGAGGAGGCGGCGGCGTTCCCATGGGTCGTGTAGAGCCCCCGCCACAGCCGACACCGCAGCCCCCGCCAAACTACCCGCAGCCGGGAGGAGGCGGAGGAGGCTACCCCCAGCCAGGTGGAGGAGGCTACCCCCAGCCGAGTGGAGGAGGAGGCTACCCTCAGCCGGGTGGAGGAGGCTATCCACAGCCAGGTGGAGGAGGAGGAGGTTACCCGCAGCCAGGAGGAGGAGGCTACCCACAGCCAGGAGGAGGAGGATATCCCCAGCCAGGAGGAGGAGGAGGCTACCCCCAACCAGGCGGCGGTGGATACCCCCAGCCTGGTGGCGGTGGTGGATATCCCCAACCTGGTAAGGATGCTCTGCTTGATGCAAATGAGAAAGGGGTTATATTAAGCTTCATGTTTTCAGTCATGAATTTTTGCACCAAAAATAACCAAACTGCATTATACTGTGAGGTACTAAACCCGGGACAATATGAAGGAAATCGTGAGCACTGCCTTTGAGTGTTGATTGTGATGAGTTAGCAGTTCTGATTCCGACATTTGTCGACCTTTATTATACCAGGAGATGCTGTTTAGGTAGCATTATCTACTTGGCGTTAGCCACGTGAACAAAACCCACTCGGTATGCTTGCTTGATCCTGTTGTTTAACTAGGACCCCTTGGTATGTTAAATGTTGATTACTCTCAAAAAAAAACTCCCAACTTATGCGAGGAAGCAGAAGCTCGCCTATTCTTGCGTGATCACATCTGGCAATCTTTATTTAGCCCAATACTTGTTTGATACTGCTTGAACAGTTCCTTTGCATGTTTCGGAGAGTGCTGTTTTCAGACTACTAGTTCGTTAAGTGTGCTGTGTGCTGGTTTGCTCCGTCCTGGCTGTACGTGTGTATCCCCTGACTGTCTGTCAGTCCGTCGTTCTGTCAGCTCTTGACCTCCGTCAGTCTGCGGAGTGACCCGGCCGCAGCCGGTGTGGGCGGCTGACGTGACGTTCCCGCAGCGGTCGTTCCTCTTCCGCCCGCCCGGCAGCCGACCGCTCCGCTGTGCGGGGTGACCGGGGCGTGTCAGTCCCGCAGCCGTGTCCTTCCCAGCCCGTGACCGCTGGGGTCTGTGATGTGTCCTTGCGGCACGGCCGCGTCGAGACTGTTATGCTCGCCCGCCAGCCGGCGCCCTCTCCCCCGCTCTTGACTGGCGCGCTCTCCCCGGCCCCTGACCTGACCTGGACGGCTTCTCTGTCGCTTCAGGCGGCGGCTACCCGTCTCCTCCGCAGCCGCAGCAGCCAGGCTGGGCCCCGCCCGGGGCACCTTCGGCACCCTCGGCACCGCCGCCCGGCGGCGGCGGCAGCGGCGGCTGGGCGGCACCTGGAGCTCCCTCGGGCGGTGGCGGCGGCGGCGGCGGTGGTGGTTGGGCATCGCCCGCCGCACCGCCCGCCGCGCCGCCCGCGTCGTCCGGCGGCGGCGGTGGAGACTGGAAGAGCGACATCGATAAAATGATGGGGTGAGATGGGATGGCGTGGGTGGCTCTCGACGCTGGAGGGGCTGTGTCCACTCATGTAGCGTTCGCTCTTGCGGTGGTTGTCTTGCAGCGCTGTTTCCCTTGTATGGGAAGTGCCGTATCATATGTAGTGGATAAGTTGGTGCTTTCGGGCGGGATGAAACTCATCTGGCTTTAGGATGAAATTGCCGATCCTGGCACGCCGTAACCAACATCCAATGGGAGCTGACCGGTAATGCGGACTTAACTTCGTGTGTGAATATGTGCGGGTGCTCCGTGTGAAGGAGTATTCGCATTCCGCATCAGTGTGTTGTAACAGGAAAACGCGTGCGATTGCAGTAGGCTGACTCGGAGGGCCGCCGGTCTCGCGTTATTCCGCTGCAGTGCAATGGCGCGGTCGGAAAGCACGTGCTCGATTTTTGACTCCCGCTGCGGGCGCCAGGCCAAAAGTGGTAGCTTGCTGACGGGGAGTGTGCACGAGCCGACATTCCTTTTGACACGCGTGACTTGTTTGCTTCGACGCGTGTTCCATGGAGTCGGGACTGTTCGACCCGCCTGGGCCCACCGGTGCTCGGCTTACTGAGTTCTGCTCACTTTCAGTTTCGGCGATCCGGGCCAGGGAAAAGGAGGTAAGAGTCCTTGACTGGCTGTGTGACGGGAATGTCTGCGGGTGCATGGCCTTTCGCCAGACTGGGTGGTCGTTGCCCTTCTAATACGTCGCCTTTCTGATCCGTGGTAAGGCATGGTATCAGATGTATCGACCGTGCAGTGGGTTGGCTGAATCCTTCCTGTAGGATCCGTCAGGCTGGTTGTGGTGAAGTCAGCTGTCACGTGCCGCATTCCTGGGCGTTTACGGGACCCGACGCGTCACGCCGCATTGTTCTGCCTGCTGACGCTCCGACGTTCCTGTTTCAGACAAGCCACCGCCGTACAACCCCAACTTTTAGCGCTCCCTCTCCGGGAGAGCTGGGGGCGCTGATCGCCAGCCGGCCGGGACCGGTCCGTAGAGCTCCAGGAAGCGGTCGCCGTCCCTGGCTGCGCTGTTGTGGCTGCCGTAGCTTCGGTGGGCTGCGCAGCGGCCGCCGAAGACGCGGGAGCGCTGACGCCCCGGCTCGCCGCCGGCGGCTACCCCACGCGCCCGCTCGCGGCCCGGGACGCCCGACGTGGGACCTCCATTCCCAGGCCCCGGCTCGTCGCGAGTCTGTGTCGCCGCCCCAGCGGACGTGTCTGCCGGGCCGGCAGGAGCCAGCGTCGGGGTGCGTCGCGGGATGGAGACGGTCCCCGAGCGACGCCGCGGGCCGGCGCCGCCTCGTCCGTCTCCAGCGGCCGGCGACGCACGCCCAGCCCACGGCGCGGGGGTGCCGCTGTGCCGGACGGCTGCGTGTGGCCCGGTCATCGTGCGTTTAGGGACGGGTGTGGTCTGTGTGGTGTTCGGCCGGGGAGCAGGCGTTGCTCGCGCCTCCCCGCGGACCCGACGCCGGTGGCGGCGTGTGGGCGGCCCTGCTTGGTGTTGCACACTCACTTCATCGCACAATGCGGGTGCACGGATCGTGGCGGGCGCGCTGCGTGGCGACGTCGGTTTAGATAGACGACCTAGAAATGCATTTGACTCGGGTGTGTTGTTTTGAAGGTTTTGTTGAAGTTCGGCTCAGAGGGGACGTCGACCGAATCTCCGTGTTCGTTGTTTTGAATACTCACGGCGTTTTTCGGAAGCGAAAGGTATGATTTAAAGACGGCCACCCGTCGTCGGGGCGTCACTCAGACGGCGCTGTGACGGGCGCCACTACAGCGGGTTTTGTCGATCTGTGCCGCCAGTCGATGTAGTGTAGACGGGATGCAGCGTGTTGCTCGGCTGAGCTGGTGTGTTCGTCTCGTCCTGAATCTCCGGTGTCACCGGCGCGGCCGCAATGACCAATGCGAGAAGCCGCGCTGTTCCTGTACATTCGCAGCCAGTGACTAGTAGCCTGTGCAGGCACAGCCAGGTCGGTGGGGGACGGCGCTGGCGTGGCGCGGTGCTTCTGCTTGTCGTCACGTGCCGGTCGGCCGCCGCGCGTGCCTGCCCCTCCCCGGGCTCTGGGGCGGTCGCTGCCGCCTCGGGGCCATCAACATTTGCCGTCCTCACGGGCTCGCTGACGTGCCGTGTAGCGTGTAGCGACAGGGCTAGCTGATGAACGGCGGCGTAAAGCGTACCTGCTGCCACCGCGTTTGCTGATCCCCGCGGTTTGGCGTACACAATATCCTACTTAGTTTTGTGGTCTCTTCTTGCCACTCGCCAACGACTGCATCAAAGCGGTGTGAATGTGGACCGTACTCTACTTAGCTTTACGGGCCCCCCCTCGGTCATCAACGACTGGATCAAAGTTGAAGTCAAACTGAACTGTGCCTGGGCGGAATGTTTGCCGCGTCACGCCCTTGGAATGGCATGGGCTCTGGTTTCGCGTCCTGGAACTACTGGCCGTGCCTTACGCATGCGTCCGCCTTGTGCCTTTGTCTGGCTGGTCTGCTTTGACAGTGTTTTCGACTCGTCACTATTTTTACATTGAACGCTAGTGCGTCTATGCTTTTGCTTGTTTGGTGTGCTCCAGGTTTCCTCCGGTTCGCTTATTTGCGTTCTTTTAGCATCCTCATACGCCATACCCTGTGCAAATAGCAAATATAAATACATTTGAATCTCTGTCACTACTTCCTATTTTCTACGGCGAGACACGCTCGTGCACTCGGGCACAGAGCACGTGCAGATACATCCTGCATCCTGCAGCTGGAAGATCGCCAGAGTACTGCGATATCACCGATCTGCGGAATGGCACGTCGCCAAGAATAAACCCACGTGGAGGAAGATAGTGGCCAGGCTATTCGTCTGTCTTGCACTGCTGGCGCCGTTGTCGGCCTTGGCCGGGCCGGTGATCCGTCGTCAGGCAGCGAGGCCGCGGCGGCCCCTGGCCAGCCGGTGTCGGGACAGTACGACAACGCGCTGACACTGGCCGCTGAGCTCAGCCCTCTCAGCGGGCCCCTGCCAGTGCGGCACCACGGCGCGCGCGGCTGACTGACACAGGCCAGCCCGCTGTGAGTCTCGTGCGTCGGAGCACCTGGACAGTTATGCAGTCTCCGTGTCAGGCCTGCCGTTCTGATCAGTCCTTGACAGTCTCCGCGTCAGGCCTGCCGTCCTGATCCGGGGCTACGTCGGCGGACGGCCCAGCTGACGCCGACGCGCCGCTGAAGATGGTGTCTGCGGGACAGTTCCACAGCGCTACCCGTCTGATCAGACTCGACCCGTGCGAGGATAGATCTCCTAGTAGCGCGGATCTCGGCCGGGGCGGCAGCGCTCGTGGCGCGGGCCAGCTGAGCGGAAACTGGATCGAGCTTCGACTCTCAGCGCGGCGTTTGGCTGCAAGTTCACGACAGTCTTTTTCTCTGGTGTTATGTTCGGCATAGTGAACCCGCATGGGATGGGAAGCCAGCCAGGCACCAGTGTGTCACCAGGGGATCATACATAGCCATGCAGGTTGGGCGGATCGACAAGAAGCATACATTTAAATTTGTGCAACTTTATTACCTCCATCGTCATTGCCGTGCCATTATCTTCGTTTCACGTTACCAAACTTCATGGCGTTGTTATCATCTCGCGACGATCACCAAATGCCGGAGAACGGAACCAGAAGCCCACAGCACCGGTCGAACCAGTTATTTTCGAACCTTAGCTTTGTTAACGAACATTGCCTACTGGTTGATCACCCGACTAAATCTTGAAAGCTCCCATGTATTGGACTGATCGGACAAAATGACGTTGATTAGCAAATACCGCCTGATATGACTCGATGAGCTTCGGTGTACGGGAATCGTTTACCGCCCAGTCAGCCGTTTTGACCATCACACAGTCACCCGATACATGGAGGTTTTAAGAAAGCTTTACTCCCGCCGTTAGCTTCTCCACTGTAATTCACCGCCTGTTTCTCAGCCAGGGAATGTCGCTACTGTAGGGTAGCTTGAGCAAATACACCATCACTTGGCTACCCTTCGCAGAGGCACGCGGTTACCCGCCCCGCCGGCTTGGGTCGTGGAGCCAATGCCTCTCCCCATCTTAAGGGGCGTGGATCCAACTCTCTCGTTGCGCCTGCTATCAAGTTCCTGAGGGCGATTCTCAGCGCAAGTGCGGGCGCGGCCGACATCTCTCGGATAATTTATGAACTGCAAGCGCTATTCTCGAACATGGGAATAACAGCCACCCGGTGTGTTCGTCAGTTGTTGCTTGGTCGGCATCGTGTTAGAAATAGGTTTCTGAGCAGGGCTGTTGGCTCCCCTTTTCGAGTCTGATGTTCAACAAAGCATTGCACGATAAGGTTTAAACATGGTACGATTGAAACATTGCACAGACCGTGAAAGAAGCCCGTAGCCAACACAATTCTTCAAAAGTCCATACCAAACTGGAACCCGCACGTTGCGGACCGGCAACATAAATGGCAGATGCGATAATCTGAGTTCTGCGGACCACTTTCTAGCAAAAGGTATGCAAAGTTTTTGTGCATGCAACAGCCACTGGAAATTCCATTTGGCAACAAGGGCAGCCTCTGTGCCTGATCTATACTTGGCCAAGACCTTGAGGCCGTGTACGGACTTATTTAACTGTGTGTGACTGCCACTAGCTTTATCTTCGCAAGACAACCTTGCCAGCCAATAAGACTAGATAATTATGTGGAGGGAAAAAAAGACATCGCACAGCACAGCGGTACCACGGAGTTCGGATGTAGCTATACTGGCTGCCATGCAGCGGCACAGGGAAGGCGGGCTTGCCCCTCCCCTTTGGCAAACATTTTTACCGTTCATGATACATGTTGACGAGCTGGATGTCATGTTAGTCTGCTTCGACTTCGGGGCAGTTAAGTTCTCTTTGATAGGAGCGCTTTCACAGGTGGACGATTTGCTTTAATACAGCACCTAAATGACGAAAATTACGAAGTTTCACCTCCTCATTCGAGAAACATTGACAACATAACATTATCAAAGTACACTGGTTCCAAAACAAGGAAAGAAATGGTTTCGTTGCGGAAAGCCACGTGAAGCAACTACCTGGTGTCAATAAAATTTGACTGAGATGTTAGGTTCCGGAACAAAAAGTAGAATACAAAAAACGAAAAGAAAAAGTGCAACAAAGTGTCGAACGCAGCTGGTCGAAAGGGATAAAAGGTGACAAGGATGCTGATGACCGGGTTTTGCTATCGCACGCCATGAGTCTCCTTAGGTGTTCCTCTAAGTTCCTCTAAGCTGGGCCCGACCTTGTCACCCGGCGAACGGTCCTGGCAGGAAGCCAACCTTCCAGCCTTCACGACCGAACAATACGCGACACACCCTAAGGGTATCAGGCGGCCGATCGGCCATGTTCGATGTCCCTGTCAGCGCCCTGTTTAGCCCATGAAGATCACCCTCTGACCTGTTCTGGGACAGTCGCGAGCCTCACAGGCACAAACGGCGAGAGGTAGCGTACGGCGGCGGTGCCAGTGGCGAGTCCTTTTTTTTCTCTCTCGCTTTGTTCTGGTGTTGGACAGGCACTGGCCTGGTTCCCAATATTGGTTCCAATTTTGTTCGCATTTCCCTCTGGAAACGAGGTCTGGATGGTTGGTTCCGGCTGGTTTCGACATACGTCCATACCCCGACTGCTGCCTACCGTATTCTATCGCTTTTTTTTTGCAAACACAGCATCCTGGTTCCTGGTCCTCCCTAGTTCTTTCGCAAATGAAAATGGAGGCTGCTGATTTCAAACGGCATCTTCACAAACACCAACACCTGGGATATTGCGCCGAGCCATGCTCATATGGATGTCATTCGGAAGATATTGGTCTGCTGAACACGACCAGGGGTGCCAATTTTTATAAACCATTGTGGGGCCGAACCGAAGGCTCCTCCGAACCGAACCTACCACCCCTTTTTTTCTCACCGGACTTAGCCCACTTAATTTTGATTGAACGCGACATATGTCTTTAATCTTTGAATAATTTATAAGCCTTCAAATAAGCAGTAAAAAAGTAATGCAGGGTTGGATCCAGGGAGCAGGCGCTGGACGCACGCGTGTCTTCTGATCAGCACGTGAAGGCGCCCCTTTAGAGGCCACCTTAGGGCGCCGATGGCGCTCTTCCATGACGGTCACGGGAGACGCCACGCGTTTTGGTCGTGTGGGACGGGGACGGGGTTAGCCATGAAGGACCTTGGTCATTCCCATATTCCAGAGCTTTTTACTTTAACCTCACAAGCCATTGCGTGTCTTATGGGCTAGGTATGTGAAGTTTATTGCATCGTTTATCCGCTCAGCTGTTACGGTTTTTATTTTGGGGTGAGAGCAACCATGACTTTTTGTTATGAGAGTGGTATACGACGCCACTACGCAGACAGATCTGAGAAGATAGTTTTTGTGTTATGATCATCTTTTACCCACGTTTTTTTGTAGTACTCCAGCCAACAACATTAAGGGGACAAAGCCAGCATTCGGGGGGGGGGAGGCCCAGCTCAACATGGGGGGGGGGGGGGGTCAGGGCCCTCACAAAAGAATACAATTCGACACCCGTAAACATCGTGGAACACTTTTGATCGCTACCAGTTCCGCACGACTGCTGCCTTCGGAGCAAAACTGCGACGACTGCTGCCTTCAGAACAAAACTGTCACGACTGCTGCGTTTACCTCTCAACACATCTCGAACTTGACTTATTCCATGGCTAAGCGAAAACCCATGCGACCAGTTAAGCAGAAAAACACATGTTGTAGCCTTCGACCAGGAAAGACACGGTTTTCGTTTAGAAATCAGGTAATACCAAGGATAAGAGGATCACCACTCTCCGCCTTTCATATCAGATATTTGGGCGACAAAAATCAACAGCTGATTATGGGTAAGCCTTGAAGAACAAGCAAGCTGACAGTGGCTAACTTCACTATCATGAAGTGTAAATAACTTTCACTTCGTAGCCATGGCAACCAAGTGTGAACGACTTGCACTTAGTAGTCATGGCCAACAAGCGTAAGTGACCGGGCAGTTTTCGTCGCCAAAATTTTGCGTCCAGCCTTTCCACCTCATGTTGTATGACAGCGACAGGCAACGCCATGTGTATTACTGTTCGCTGCCCGACTGTCTACTGTTGAAACAGACGGCAGAATGGGGTTGCCTGACTAGGATAGTTTTTTAACGCTTCATCGGGCCCACTTATTCTAAACCTCAGACTCCGTTCGATGTCAGGCGACAGTCACTGCTTCCCCTCCCTCTCTGCGTCCCAAACTCTCTCTTGCGCCCTCTCAATGACAGCGAAATGGGGGCCGAGGTCACCGGCGTGACATGGGACCTCGGTTCTTCCCTCGCTATCGATGGGCTCGCTTAGACGTTTGGTAGCCGACAGCAGACAATGACGCATAGGATGTTGCCCGCGACCGTCATTTTAACAAAGGATGGATTGTGGAAATATCCAGCGCACAATTTGGCGACGAAAACCAGCGGGTCGTCTACACTTGGCTGCCATCATTACGAAGCACGAGGCATTTAAATATGGTTGTCATGACTACCGGGCCAGCCGGTCATTCGTAAATCAAGGTTTTTACACGAACAGCTGCTGAGTTATTCTCTAAACCTTCCCATTTTAAGGAAGCGGAGTGGGTTATCTTGGTGTTGCATGAAATATACTTGAAAGCCATGTTCTTCGTACGC